GCTTGTTAGTAGTTGTGTGTGTAACTGTGAATAGTCGACACGTCGTTTTGAGTTTTGTTGGTTGACAGGTTAACTTTGAGACGGTGGTCGCCTATGCCCCTCAATGATGACAACAAACCAAGCACCCGTCATCATGGTGAGATGACAAAGTGGGGTGCTGGTCGTCTGAGGGGGGCAGAAGCGACCGCAGTGTCATTGTTGCCTGTCTCTGGTTAGTGGAAGAGAGTTTTTTTGAGAAAGATCTTCGGATCTTGAACGTTTAAACAATTGTTGCAGTCAAGCTGTATGGTTGCTTTTGGCTCAAAGCCAAGGAAACTGCAAAGAAGTAGTCTGAGACAGTCACGTGGTTTAGTCCATCTTGCTTGTTTTGCTTTGGTTCGTGTGTTTTTTGTTGCTACAGCACCTCTGAGAGAGCGTCCAAAAGGGTTGAGTTGTTCCGAACCTGAGAGCTTGTGTGTGGGAACCGCGTTTGCGCAAACTTCGCTGTGCGTAGGTTGTAGGAACTGCATCTAGGTGTAGGTCCTGGGATTTACGTAGAAAGGATTTTTGAACCAACTTGGGTTTGAATTTTCCGCAAAATTCGACATAAGCAAGCACAACCCACCGGGAAAAGACTCGAGAAAAGCACATTGGCTGCCAGTACTCTAGCATACTGTGTTTTTGTATGTACAAACCCAAACAACGGAATAAGCGTCCAATCAGGCAGTTTACAATGGACAAACCTCAAGCAAATCTGGTTCAAATCGAATCTATCGGCCGGAGTATGGCATCAGGTGCGACAGGATGTAAATGAAAGTTTACTGTCGAGGTACGCCTGCATCACCGCAAAAAGTGCTAGTTTGAGGATGTCCTGGTTTAAAACCTCATTTTGCTCCATCTTGCGCCCGCTTCTTGCCACTTTATTGCCGTCTTAGTTGGCGAAGTTCGCTGCAAAAATCATTACATTGGAAGATGCAAAATGGGAAATTGTCGGTTTGTTCAACATCTGCGGGCTGCATATGTTCAAACCGTGAGAAATTTGCTCAGCAGGCCAGTGAAACAGGCTCAGTTAGTTCTTCATCTGCAAGAGAGGAAGCAGAGCACACTGTGAGCACACAAGAATCTTCCTACACGTGCCCTCTACATTGCCAAGCTGCAAGCGGTTGGTTGTTCGCTGTAGTAACTAGGTTTTGTTGTTGTCTTGCATCGATATCGCTTATGTGGCTCTTGGACGTGTCCTGGTCAGTTATTGGCAGACATCGCATTTGGGCCTTGCCGTCAGCCTGATGATAACTTTTTTGCTTTTGGTTTGTTTTTGATGGGACTGCTCACTGGATTGTGTATTGGTCCATTACCAGCGCTTTTGAGGCTATCGACGTGTAGACGGCCTTGCATGATAATTTACAATTCATCTTTTTGCTGCGGTTGAACGTGTGTAACGACCCCATGAAGGCGTTGGACGGAAAAAATGCCGTCAGCCTGATGATAGAAAACTTCTCTATCAGGAGTAGGCGATAGGTAGTCCTGGAAGAAGCTTTTGATGTTTCGCGACACGCAAATTGCCAACGTTTCGCTCGCGGTTTTAGCTGTCTGTGAAATTTACAGTGTTCGGACAGTTTTGCTGGTCATTTTGAATGAGGTAGAGACTTTTCCACTATTTAGCGTCGTGTGCGTTTTGTCATAAAGAACATAGACGCAACATACACGCAACATAGCGGTTGCGCGGCCACGCACGGCTGTAATTTACGATACCCTTTTACGTCCTGTGATTGCAAGAATATTGGGACATGCAACGTTGCCTGGTCGCGCAACACGCTATCTTGTGTGCGTGTTGCGTATGTGTAGCGCATAACAAAACCCACGCAACGCTGTAAGAGGTGTAAAAAATTGACATGTCTATGGACAGCGTCACATTTTCTCTTGGTCGACGCTTAACAAAAGGCAGATCGCCATAACGGCTCCCTTTATACTTTCTATACGCTCGCATCCCTGTATCAATGCGACTCAGCCAGCAACTATGGTCAACCGACCGTACCGAAGACAATTGACTGCAGCGCATACATTTGTTGACCACTGAAGGAGCTCCACGCTTGCAAGCCTGCATCAATGCTGTCGAGCTAGCGATCATCGCTAACTCGATCGCATTGGATACAGTTTTGAAAGCTGCATGCACTGCAAGGGTGCTCTACAGCTCCCAATGATAATGGTGCTTGGAAAAGAACTACTGAGCGGACTCTGAGTGCGCCCTGACTGCCGTAGCTACTGCTGTCTCTTCTCACAATAGATCATGTTTCACCTCCTGTTTCACCGTTTTTTCGTTTTTCACCACTCTCGTTGCGACCCGGCGTTGTCGGTGTTTGCTTCGAAGTGCCAGGGTGTATGTTATGCCTGAACGGCTGCTCTCTGTGATCTCGGGGATCCTGGCTGGGGGGATCCCTGGTTTCCGCTTTGAGCTGTGCTGTTTTTCGCCCTCTTACCTGACCCTTTTTTGTGTTTCTGTGTTTTCTCTGTTTTGCTTCTCATCGGTGGCCATTCTCAATGACACACAAGATGTCATCATGCATGTAGGTCCCATTGCTGGTTGCGATCCCACTCCTCTGTTTCAGTTTGGTTTGTTTTGGTTGTGGTTGTGTGTTTTTTTGTTTGTTTGTTTGCTTCTTTTTTGGTTTGGTTCGTTTTTGATGGGATTGCTCACTGGACTTTGTATCGGTCCATTACCAGCTCTTTTGAGGCTGCCGACGAATTGACGGCCTTGCATGCTAATTTACAATTCAGTTTTTTTGCTGCGGTTGAACGTGTGTAACGACCTGGCGAAAGCCATAAAGGCGTTGGACGGAAAAAAAATCCCTTTATACTTTCTATAATGGCGCAGGACCTTTTTCTTTTTGCAAGGATTGCAGCTTGGTTCGAGTAACCGTTTCAGTGCGATCTGTGTCAATCCGGTATCCTTTGTCTTCGGTGTCAACGCCATGATTCTTATTAATCGTAGCTTTAGGATGGACGCAGAATGATTGATATGTGTTTATATGATCTCCGTGCACTCTATGTTCCTTGGCCGTGTCTTTCTCGTCGCTTCTTCTTCTGATTCTGTGCTGGCTTTAAAAACCAGCACGGGAGCGGCACTGTTGCTTGTAAATTATGGCTCTTGTGGCATATTGACGTGCATTTCAACTGCGCAGGCTCGCACCAAGTTTGCGCCTCGGTTCTGTGCCGCAGCCTTTTCCGTGTAAATTTCCATTTGAAATGGCTCTTGTGCACGTTGACATGCATGTGGACTGCGCACGCTCGCAGAAAACGTGCGGCGCGGTCTTGGATCTGTCCTGCATCCTCAATATCATCATCTTCCTTCTCCTCCATCATCATTCTCAATATCATATTCTTGTGCCCCCTTGACATCATCATCCTCAACATCATCATCCTCCACCTCATCATCCTCAACATCATCACCCTGCACCTCATCAGCCTCCAAATTTTCTGCCTCAACCCTCAACATCATCATCTTGCGCCTCCTCAACATCATCATTCTCAACGTCATCATCTTCTTCCCCCTTGACATAATCCTCCTCCTCCTCCTCCTCCTTCTCCCCCTCATCTTCCGCAACATCATCATCCTCCACCTCATCTTCCGCAACATTATCATCCTTTTCATCTTAATCTTCAACATTATCCTCCTCAACATCATCTTCCTTCTTCTTCACATCATCACCTTCGACCTTATCATCCTCCACTTCATCTTCTGCATTATCGCCTTCACCCCCATCCTCCTCAACATCTCCTCAACATCATCATCATCCTCCACATCATCATCAACATAATCATGATCATCACCATCATCATCATCATCATCATCCACCTCATCTTCCACAACATCATCCTCTTCCACCTCATCTTCCGCAACATTATCATCCTCAACATCATCGCGTGCAAAAAAATATCTTCATCATCTTCATCATCTTCATCATCGCCATTCATCACCATCATCATCATCATCACCATCCATCCACATTATCATACATTATCTCTCGCTCCCCCACACTGTTTTGGGTTTCTTGCCATGATAATTTTTTAAATGTCTGTAATGTTTTTGATAAAAGGTGTTAAGCGCAAAAACCTTGAAAAACAAATGCACGTACAGAAATCTGCGGGCAATTGCTCTCGATCCATAGTGGGCGGCACGCAAGAATTGGATTTCGCTTAGCGTCATTGAAAGAAATTGCGTCCTTAGAGTTTTCAACAAGAGTGGAATTCCAAAGTGAGTGTAATGCGCTGTAATTACGCATGCCTACTCCTCCATGTGGTTGCACAATGCGAACTGTGAAAACCGTTTGACTTTAAAGAACTGAAATGACATCCTCTGGCGCTGATGTTGTAGAAAGGGTTGCTGCAACTGCTGAAACGGTTCAGTCACTAAAACGCTGAATTTCCTGTTTTTTGCACATTCAATCAAAGAGAGACTTGCGCCATAGTTAATTACATATTAATTTTCACTGTAAAGTCATGCGCCTGGCATCGAAACAGAAACAAAAAAATCATGCCCAAAATCAAAAATGCCATAAATATTGCGTTTCTATCGAAATGACAAAGTACAACTCAAATTGAAATCGACAACCCTTCACAAATAAATCGTTATTGTTTTTGCGTTTGCGGAGATGCAAAAATTGAAAAAAACACACGCGGATTTAAACTCAGTTTTTTTTGTGCGTTCCTGGGAACCGTTAAGCTGCAAACATGATATGCATATGATATGGTAGTGGTTTCGTTCCAACTTGTTGATTTTTTTTTGGTGTTTTGGTCTTGGTTCAAGGTGCGTATTGCCACCCGATAGGGTTATGTCCATGTTCCTTGTGATCAAACAACGCATGGGAAGAATTGTTGACAATTTTGAACCATTTTCTGTCACATCAACAGTCAACAAACGTGAAACTAAGGTAGTTTCAATTATTTTACCCTGAAATTTCAGCAAACGATGCCACCACAGAGATGTGTGCTCACATTTTCACGACTTCTGAATTGATTTCACACCTGAACAGCGAAAAAACATGAGTACACTTGAGACGACCAAAGAATGGATGGCCAGGGCAACCCAACGGTTCTCCATGCTGCAAATTGCGATCATATGGTCACGCTGGTGTGTGTTCTTGTTGTGTGTAATCAACACAATGGTTGTTCCGTCCAAATTTTCCTTGTTTTCGGTTGCTGAGGAGCAAAGGCTGAAACAACTCCATTCCAGATGTCGTGACATGCAGGCGCACATTAGATGGATGCAAAACATCTGACTACCAACAGTCTCTCAAAAATCGCTGGCAGTGCTTAAAATACCGACATGGGGACATGGGTTGTTTTTCAACCAATTTTGCATTTTGTACAGTCTGAGAGAAGGATGAACAATAACTAATTCAATGATTGCATTTTGTTTAGAATTTGGATAGGATTGTGGTGTCCAACCATCACCGGCAAAAATACATGTCATGTGAACAAAAATTATACACTCCGAATCAAAAATTTGGCCAAGGTTTGCCCGCATGTTTACGTTGGCAGTGCGATGCAGGCCAAAGTAGAGAAGCAAAACCAAGAATTAGGCGGGCAACATGGCACTGTGGCAGTGGTGATTGCCAGCCACATCGACTGTTCAATGGTTCCCGCCAAAAAGGTGCGGCCCAGGAGACCGCTCTGCAGTTCCGCAGGGCGCAAGAAACCATACAGGTGCGGGCCGGTGTCGAAAGGGATGGAACATCAAACGGGGGAGTGGGGTAGGTGTACCAACAAAAACAAATTGGGGGCTGAAAATTTCAACCATGGATCATGAGGATTTTTCATTGGATGTGATATATTTCACCCAAAATGTGGAATTTGGATTTGTATCAAAATGGCGGAATTTACCATCATTTTATGCCGCTTGAACATGGGGAAAACAAGGTTTTTAACTTTAAACCATGAGATGGAATGGTCTATTATCCGGTCAAGGATATCAAACCGCAACAGAGTGTTGGGACACATGGGGTGGGTGATATCTGGCACAAGAGTGCCCTCGTTGCTGGATTTGTCAATCGGTAGGAGACAAGTCTCATACTGGGTTTGGGGTACTGTGAGGGTCCAGCAATGAGGATCAACAAAAACAACCAAATGAAGGGAGAAAACGAACAGACACACCACATTCATACTGCCTGCACATTGGGCCCCAGTCCCTGCCTTCCCTATGACCCAATGACTGTGCACCGACCCCTTCCCACAGCGAGGCTGACATAGCAGAGGAGAAACACCAAAGCTCCGTCGCACAGCGGCGACAGATGGAGGAACGATTTTGAAAGGGCTTGCAGTCTATCTTGTCTCTGGTACATTTGGGTTTTGTTTTTTTTCCCCCCAAAATGGCAATTCTATGTAATTCTTATAGAGAAAGTCATGACACAGCATCAAAATTTTTAGGGTACCCTATTTTGAGGCAAATCCACTTGCGAAAAACAAACTACACCTTCAACTGCTTTCACAAGCCCAGGAGTTTAAGGCGCTTCACAGCGCCAGAAACCGAGAAGAGCAGTTGAAGAGCGAGAAACGACAGATTTGCCAGGAGATGGAGGTCAGGGGTTGCGTGGTTTTTGATCCCATTTTGGTTGCTGAGTTGTCCTATTTTTTTGCGGGTAAAAAACGATTCTTTTTTTCAATGCTGAAATCCCAATGTTTGCTGGCCAGCCTCCCCTTTCTTTTTGTGAAAAATATGTTGATCATTGGTGACAGCCATCCTGGCTGCAGTTGACCGAAATGCAAGGTGGCCAAGCAGCAGATTCAAGAGGAGATGGCCGAGGCTGGGGATATCATCATTTTATGGCCATTTTCATAAGGAACATTGTAATTCACCACCGGATTTTCGGGTAGCCTATCTGATATTTACATTTGTTTTGAGAGTGATGCCATCACTTGATTTTTTTTCGCGGGAAATCGTTCTTGACCCGAGGGAAGGTGATGTTTATGGAGACTATGTGTTAAAAGATCCTGTTGTTTGTTGGGATGATCTCTGAACCATTATGACACAATAGTTAAAAATGGATGTCTCTATAAGTGGATGTTTCTTATCCATGATCACAATTTCCTTTTGGTGCATGATTGCTGTACAACTGTTAATCCCTACCGAATAACGATCCATCTCCTTTCTTAGCGGATGATGACAGCTCCTTATGAGAATCATTACAATCCCTTTAGTTCGTGGATGCTTTTGACTATATAGATAGTAACTTACAAGAGCTTATTCCAGACTACGATTTCCCTTAGGATAGATCCTGCACTTATTTGCCACTGAAATCACAATTTTGTCATCATCCAACGCTCATCATCTGGGGCCTCCAAAACAGATTAAATGCCTACTATCTTGGGTTTACACAAAATAATGCTATAACTTCACAATGGATGGTATACATATATATATACATATCTACATATATATATATACATATCTGCATATATATATATACATATCTACATATATATATACATATCTACATATATATATATATAATTATATATATAATTATATATATATAATTATATATATATAAATGTATATATATATACATACACACATACACATCATATATTTGTCCCCCCAAGACACAAAATCCCTTAGGATTCGCCAGGTTCGCCTCTGCCAGGCTGAACGCCTCGAGCGACAGCAGGAAGAGCAGCGCAGAACTCTGCGGAGGCAGCGCCAGGCGCTGCGGGAGCAGGTGCGACACGTCGCGGCGCGCCGGTCGCGGCGCAATGCGGGTGGTGGAAAAAGCGACAGGGGTTGGTATTTTTTGGGGACATTGGCGAGATTTTTGTGATATTTCCATGATATTTCTATGTTTTATTGAAAAAGTAAATTTGATCACTAGGTCACCATTGGTTTTGGTCGAAAATATACCACGAGAATGGGGCAAATGTGGGTAGAGTATGATATATGGGTCATTTGGGTCATTCCCGGCTTATTTTTGAGCAACATGTTGGGTGTTTAGATCTTCCGATTGATAGTTGCTAATGTAACCCCAGTGTGCCCATCACATGGAAAACCAAAAACAAGTTGGTTTGTACGCGTCCAAGGTATGAAATCAAGAATTACACTGTTAATCATTTCAATTGAACCAAGTCACGACAAGAGAACTTGTCACGCATATCTTGGCCATTGAAGAGCCCATCAATGACCCATAAATGACACCTGTTTTCATCCATATATCATAGTTTACGATATTTTTTTCATGGGTTGACAGGCATCTCTTGGTTCTTCGGTTTTCAGCATGGCTGGATTCACAGTGTCCCCCCCCCCACGTCCAGGAGAAATATTTGGAAGAGTTGGAAGCCGTTAAGGTGCCAATGTTTGGCGTTTTGACGACATGTTTTCCAAGTCGCCTCCAAGAGTCGCGCCTTGGGAGGTGAAGTTTCTGCAAGAGGCCAAGGAAGAGAAGACTCGGTCCGGAAGACCTGGTCTGGGCAGGTCTGGGCAGGTCTGGGCAGGTCTGGGCAGGTAGGATTGGTAGAATTTGAAGATTTTCTGGTGCGACAGTAAGAAAACTAAACATCTGTGGGTCTATGTAGTATTTTTCAACTGCATTTTTGGAGTACCTGTGTGCCCATTGTAGCGTGGCTTGCGTAAGATTGGTTGCTTGCTGAGTACTGCAGTGGTTTTGATTCCTGCAAGACAGGATCCCACCAAGAGGATTGCCAGACATGAAAACCATTAGACTGCAATCTACTGTATTCGAGTTATGTACCTGTTGCCCACGCACTTTTTGTTGATGAATCCTCTCAAAAAGAGTGACAGTCAACCCAGCATGCCCATTTGTGTTAATTCAAATCCAATTGATTCTGCATTAATAGACATTTGGCTATGGATCAATACCTATTAATACCATTTTTAGGGGGATGAACATCCATTTACCAGCTATTTTGATGTTCACCAGGGGTACAAGGTTTTGACACACTGCCATTTAACTATTTGTACTGTTTACCGCATAACTCGCAATGTGCTTATCTCATGTGTGTTGCCGGAAGTCCATCCAATTCAGGCATGTTGGTTTCACTTGTTTACTCGCCAAATCCGTCCGTAAATCATGGCAATCAAGCTTCAACGCCGCGTAGATGATTTGTAGAACATGTTTTCATTTGATTACAGGAACATATCATTCAGTATCCTCCAATTTGTCCTAGTTAAATCACTATTCTTGCTGGTCAAGTCCCTCGTTTTGCTGGCTAGACCCCCGATTCGGCTGGTTAAATCTCAATTTTTGCAAGTTAAGCAAGCAGTAGGTAAAGTCTCCAGTTTTACTCGTTGAAGCCACCTTTTTGCTGACTGAATCTTGAATCCAAGTTTTGCTGCATAGATCTGATTTTGCTGTTGGCAAAGTCCCGAGTTTTACTGGTTAAATCTCAATGTTTGCTGCTTCAACTCCTGCTAATTGGACCGTCTATGGCCCTGTCCCTAAGGCGACAAGAGCTCAGAGAGAAGATGCGCGCCTGGTTGCAACGAGAGGAAAGTGTGTCAACCGATGGGGGTTTAACCAACAAAACATGGTGAACATACCATCAAAAATAGGTGTAAACCAATTGATAATGGGTAGTTTGGTCCTAATTAACTACTCTTTTGCCTTTTAATTGGGCCTAACCTAACCAGCTATTTGATTGGTATAGAAGGCAAAGCAAGTTTAGGAAAGAACATGATAGCTAACAAGGTATATTTTTAGTGGAAACATGCAATTGAATCGGTGCCGCCTTCGATAAGGCTCGCTGCTTTCAGATTCACCCCTTTCACCAGCTTGTAAGTTGCGCATCCTCAAGTCTTGTGGGTGTCTTTAGACAGATTTCAAAAGTGGTTTTATCTGCAATTCCATCTTACTTATCAGGTTCTTTGAAAAACATGGATGACATCCACAATGGTAAATGATGGTAAATGCACGCAGTTCACTTAATACATGTGACCCAGGAGATTGGTAATTTAGAATTTTACTTGTGTTGGTTGAATCATTTTTTGTTGGTTCCAATCACATTTTTGTTCCCTAAATCCAGAGTTAGTTGGTTCAATCAGTTCAATCCAATTTTTGTTGATGAAATCCCAGTTTTTGTGGGTGAAAACAATTTCGCTCTGGTTCAATCAACAGTTTTGCTGGTTCAATCCACACTTGAGTTGGTGAAATCAGTTTTTTATCCATGCTAAAATGCTGGCCACATTAAAAAAAAGTTTTTGGTTTGTCACGACATGTTGGTTCAATCCACATAAATTGGTTGCTAAGAATAGCCACATTTTTGTGCGGCACGGAGCACCTTTTTGTGGTCAGGAGATGGAGATTGAGGAGCTGAAAGAAAAGCTGAGCAGCGGCATTCCACGCGAGATGGCCGTGCTGGAAGAGCGCTTGGAGGCGACAGGGACGGGACGGCGGATGTCATGAGGCTTTTGAGCATTTTTTTCAAAATATGATCAAGAATTGTTTTTTTTTTTGGGGAACCCACAAGCCCATAACCTTTGTTTGGGAGCATTCAAACTCTTGCAGTTTGAAAAAAAACCTGTTGATGCCAATGCTCGTTCAATTTCACGAACATCTCTATGACTAGCATCACAAGGGGGCCTCTTTCTTTTTTCAGAAGGGTTCGCCAACGGCAGGTGATTGACAAGGTATCTATGGTATCTCAGGTTGGGAGTTCCGAACGTTACATCTGAGGCTTCTCGGCAAGAAGCTGTGGAAGCTGACTTGGAGGCTGAGAGGCTGATGCAAAAGACCGAGGATTTCCGGGAGTTAATCCCTGTCTACACAGAGCAAAGACGAGTGCGGCCCTTGGTTTCTGCCAATGATGGCAAAAGAAAAGAGTGAAAACTGTGGGTTTTGCTCTTTGTTGATATAGTATCAAGACGTATTTTCTTAAAGAGTTTGTTGTTTCTTTCGTTTTTTGTGAGTATTGCTTCTTATTTTTATCATTGATATCACCATTATTACTATTTAGTATTCTTGATAATATTCCTACTGCTATTCCTAAATTCTGAATTTTCGAGGGCTATTTCATCATAAAATCATGATCACTTATTATCATCGTTATCATTATTGGATATTAAGACAGTTCCTTCCATTCATGTAATTATCATTGACATTCCTGACATTATCATTATTATCAGGATTATCATCATTGTGAATATGGAATTATTTCATCATGACCATGTCTATCATGATTGCTATCATTTGATTGTCCTGATAACCATGATTAATAATTGTCATTATATATCTATTATTCTATCATGATTATAGTATTACGGCCAGGCGCTGCGTGTTGCCCGGAAAGTTCAAATGGCATATTAAACATTATCCTTCAACATGCTCAAACACCTGCGCAGGGCCAGTCTGTTGAGATTTCCCAAACAACGAACATAAAACTGTAAACCCTAAAACCCTAAACCCTACAACCCTAAAACCCAAAAACCTTAGACCCTAAAAACTAAACCCTGAAAACTTTGAATCCTAAACCAGAAACACTGCGTATATGCAGTATTTTTCTGCTATCTCTCCTATCATATTCGACAACACGACATCCTCAATGTTACTGTCCGGGCAACACGCGGCGTCTGTGGGTAGTATTACCATAGTCTATTATCATTTATCTCACTATCCTATTATAGATAATGGTAATAGTGAAGAATTGAAGAATTATACTACTATCTATTATCCATTATCTATATTACTCCCCAAGATATTATTACCACTATAAATTATTACTATATATTATACTTATCCTATCTATTATGATTCCTTCCAGCTGCAGAGTGGTTGCCTTGCGGCTGCAGAAGCGCCCATTAGGAGCTGCTGGAACAGATTCGAGACATGACAGAAGAGGAGCCGCTTTTTGGGTGGCATTGGAGTGGTATCCGTACTGTGTATGTATGTATATATGCGAATATACATAGATACATACATAGATAGATAGATAGATAGATACATACATACATACATACATACATACACACATACACACATACACACATTGGTACGTACGTACGTACACACACACACATATATATATACATACATGTTACATATATATATATATAATAAACATGGGTTTCCTAAAAGGAGGGATCCCCAAGGCACCATGGGTTTCAATACTAAAATGGTCCAATGATTTGGATGATTTTGGGGTACCCCCATTCTAGGAAACCTCCATATTGTTCAAGGCTTCTCATTTTGAATGATTTTTTTTCAACACCGGTTACAATTGCCAATGGTTCTCGTTTCCACCTTGTTTGGGGCCCCTAGAAGTTCTCTCATGAGCTAGGCTTCTAGGCCTGCTAGAGAAGGAGACTGTATCACAAGTTGGCGATTTTTTCCCTTCCTTTGAGGTCATGACATTCGACTGCCCTATCCGAAACACTGCCAGTGGGATAATGGGAACAATCCGACTGTTTTTCTTCAATTTGATGGCAACTTGTGTCAGTACATCAGGTGTGGACAGACTCCAACTGACGCCACCTAGTACACTTTGAACAACAATGGCCACTTCCTGTGCATTTGGTGTTGTTTGGTCAAGGTGCTAGAGCCACAAGAGTTGTCAACCCCCGTTACAATAACACTAGTTTGGGCAATTGTGGAGGGGAACAGATGCAAATGTGCCAATGCACTAGTACTGTCTTGCTGAATTTACTAATCACATCACCAGGCCCCAGTCCCAGCGCCAACCCTTTCGGTGCGGAGGATGCGAGAAATCGCGACGAGCTTCTCAGGGCCAGGAGCCAAGTCTCAAGGCATGGCCAGTGCCAAGTGGCCAAGTACCATACCCAGCTGAGGGCCAAAGTCTGCTGCTGGAGAAGCAAGTAAAGGCGCCATCTGCGAGCCATCAAAATGCGACCCATCAGTGTGAGATGTTTTGGAGAAGATTGGATAAGCGATCTCTTTTTGGAGCCAAAAAGAAACCTCCAGCAAACCTATCATAGCTATGGAACATTGACCAGTTACAGATGTTTTGCCAATCAAGCATGGAGATTTCCATAGCTATGTTAGTTTACTGGAGGATAACCCAAGACTGGGGAGGAAGGAACCGGCCATAGCCGGCCATAGCCCATCCCTGCTAGCGAAGGCACAGGAGCGGGCTCGACGCCTTGCTGCTGGAGGGAGCTGAGATGGGCCCTAGATGTGGTTCCCGCTGTTTCCACCGGTCAAAATATGTCGAAACTATCAATTGATCCCCCCAAAATGGATGGTTCAATACAAAATTTACCCATCCCCCATTAGTTTCCTCGATGATTGAAGACATTCATCTGTGTTGCCTGCTCCATGGAAGTTTTTTAGAGTCCCTTGGCACTGGGCTGCGTGCACGTGTAATTCATGAGCACATCTGTGGATCTCGAGTTGATAAAAGGTGAAACTGGGATTGTGGGTTCAATGGAGCTCTTGCAGTGTAGAGACTCTCTTTTCCAACAGGGCAAGAGGAGATCGGCACAAACTTTTCCAGCTGACCTGGTGGCCTTATAGTAGCAGCAGCACTTGCTTTGGTTCGAAAATTAGGATGGAAGCAAACTAGGCGGAATAAGGACACCTCTCAGGCAAAAAAAACATGAGATATGATTTTTGTTGTTTTCATGGATGTTTTTTTTGGGCATGTTGGAAACGAGGGAAAGGAAATGCACAGGCAACCATTTACATGATGTTGAAACAGATGCTGGTTCTGTTTGGAAATAAACAAAACCTGTCTTAATGTTTCCACAAGTGTATATTTCCACAAGTGTATATAAAATAAAACTAGAGATTCTTCTGGCCGAAAACAAACCCAACCAATGGTCCCCGATCAATCGAAACATCAACTGTATCTTTTTAAATATCAAAAGGGCCATGGCACGACAGAAGCGATCCAAAGGATCAAATTGTTCCAATGCCTGGTGGATTTGCTGCCATGAACACCTTTGTGCGTGAGACAATTTGCCATGCCCTGCAAGCATCTAACGTTCATTACGAGAAAACGTTCCAGGGTCTGGTGGCTGAGCTGACGGCAAGCATTGCTCGAGATAAAGAAACTGAGTGCAGTGGCCTTCCGACACTTCTCACCAGTGTAAGGGAGGAACATGCAAAATCCAAAAAGGAAAGGCTCTAATTAGATCTATACAGATTTTAATTAGTTGCGGGGCCAAAAGGAGCTCCCAGGTGAGCAAAGACTCTGAGGTGCCACAAGAAGCTCCGCTGGAAAAGATGTCGCTCGGACACGGTCACCTTGATACGGGTACGGCAGAACTAGCCTGTATAGAAAACACTCCAAGTCCAAGTCTTGAAATATTGGGACATTGGAATGAATTTAGACATATTTAGAATATTTAGACCACAAGGGCAACGTTTCAAGAGCTTTTGCGAATTACCCCAAGTGCTAGAAGAGAATTCTTGCTTTCAAGGAGCAGAAGAGATGCCCACAATCCAGCTATTTACATCCGTTTCTTCCAGCTATTTGTTGGAGCCTTGCTCCGCCTGGCTCCGCCTGTACAATTCACAAGCAACTTTGTGGCTGTCTTGATATGTGCCATTCCAAGCGCAAAGGTGGAGCCGGGATTGTGTAGAGAGAGTCTTTTCTCTAAATTCATAGCAATACACACTTTGGAATTTGGACCGGATCTACATCTCTGTGGTAGAAGTTCGGCATTCTTTGAAATATGTCTCCCTTCCCGCCGGCTCCGAGTTGTGTTTTTGGATGACTTGCCAAACAAATTGTGGAAGATATGTTGCCAGATGTTTCTCGTGATAGATCCTGGAGCAGGACAACACGATCAACACGTTCCGAACATTCTCCTGTGCCTGTGACGCAGAGTCGAGGTTCAACTCGTGCTTCGGTTAGGTGAATCCAGAAGGGCGACTTCCAACGTAGGTCTTTGAGGGATTTTCAGACAGCTTCACCAGATAAATAAAGAGCCTATTGGAGGAGTTTAATCCAAGCACTCAAACAACACATCTAGACTATCAACAGCCACGTGCCCAAAGTTTCGGAGCGAGAAGAGCGTTGAACTTTGTTTCGCGGGCGTCTCTGTAGAGCCACGCTGTCGGGTCTAGGCTGGTGGAAGGCATTCTCAGGAACTGTGACATAGTGTCATATGTTCTACTTGTTGCATGAGTTTCATAATTGGCAGTTAGGGTTGTGGATCAGACCAAAATAACAAGGAGTCTGCAATTCTCTGAAATCCAAGATGTCCTGGCTGTGGTTGGTTCAGATCCCCTCGATAGAGGGATGGGGGGGATCTTCTTAAGGGGGGGAGGGGGGTCTTCTTAGAGACAGAAAGGGGGGAGGGGGTGCGTCGTTCTTAAGGGGGGGGGGGTCTTACTTTAGAGGCGGGGAGGGGTCTTCTTTAAGGGGGCGGAGGGGGGTCTCTTTAGAAGACAACGGGGGAGGGGGCTTCTTAACGCAGCGCAGGGGTCTTCTTTAGAAGGGCCCAGGCGCAGAGACATCTTCATCTACAACACGGGGGAGAGGGGGCGGCTCTACTTTAGAAGGGGGAGGGGGAGGTCTTCTTAAAGGGGGAGGGGTCTTCTTTAGAAGGAGGGGGAGGGGGGTTTCATAAGGGGGGGAGGGGGGGTCCTTCTTAAAGGGGGAGGGGGGTCTCGTTAAGGGGAGGGGGGACTCTATAGGGGGGAGGGGGGTTCCTTAGCAGGGGGGGGGGGGGGGTCTTTCTTAAGGGGGGGAGGGGGGGTTTCCTTACTAAGGGGGAGGGGGATTCTTCTTAAGAGGGGGGGGGTCCTTCCTTTAGAAGGGGGCGAAGGGATCTTCTAGGGGGGGGAGAGGGGGGGTTCTTCCAGAAGGGGGGTAGGGGGAGTCTTTCTTAAAGGGGGTGGAAGGGGAAATTTCTGGTTGAGAGGGGGGTTCGTTCTTTTTGGTAGAGGGGGGGTGATCTTCTTAACGGGGGGGGGGGGTGGGGGTCCCTCTGTGTGAAGGGGGGGGTATCTCTTCTGAAGGGGGAGGGGGGGTCTTCTTTAGAAGGGAGGGGGGGGATCTTCTTAAGGGGGGGAGGGGGCTATGGACGCTTAGCGTTTATTTGGCGGATAGAGTATATACAAGACTTACCAGGTGCTGCGCAGCGTTTGCTTGACAGCAAAAGGTTTGAGGGCTTGCCCGTCTCTTCATTCCAAGAGCGCTTGTGCACGCTTTGGCAGGGAGTAAAAAATAAAAGAAAGTGAGTGGGTTTCTGCTTGATGAAAGTGAGTTGTTGTCTTTTGACCATCAGTTCCGTCACAGAATCTGCAATTTTGGGCGCCTCACCTCGCCAGCGCTTTTTTCTAGCTGAAACCAGAAAATGGCAACTAGTGATGCTGCTGATGCCAAACACGAAGAACTTGTGCTCCCAGAATAGTTTTGGGTGCTAAAACCTTTGCTGATGAAATTCATTCGCTGTGTAGCAAGGCATGATGTAGAGAAGACCAAGCAGCGTAGCATCATGAAGACAAGACCAAACAGCGTAACACGATCTGATGTAACAACATAAAGCAGCATAACATCAGTTAGGGAAGGTCAAGCAGTGTAGTTTGACGTAGGGAATCATGCAGCATAGCATCGTGAGGGCAAGACCGAATAGCACAGTATGATACAGAGCACATTAAGCAGCATCACATGAGGTAGGGAAGCCCAAGAAGCCTAACAAGAGGTAGAGAAGGTCAAGCAGCGTAGCAGCATGAAGACCAGACAAAAAATTCAACAATATATATAGAGAACACAAGCAACATAACAAAGGAAGGTCAAGAACGTAGCATGAGGTATAAAAGATCAAGCAGCGCACCGTCTTGATGGCAAGATCAAGCAGCATAACATGGCACAGGGAACACCAAGAAACATAACATGCGGTAGGGAAGGTTCAGCAGCGTAGCATGAGGTAGAGACAATCAAGCAGCGTGGCATTATGAAGACCAGATCGAGTAGCATAACGTGATTCAGAGAAGAGCAAGCAGCTCAACATGACGCAGGGATAGGCAGGGGAGATCAAGCGGCAGCATGAGGCGTAGAAGATCAAGCAGCCTAGCACCATGCAGACCAGATCAAAAAGCACAACCTGATGTAGGGGACATCAGGCAGCGCAACATGAGGTAGTCAAGGTCGAGCAGTGTAGCATCGCCAAGGCAAGATCAAACTATCAAAAATCAAAGATCTGATGTCGAAAACACCAAGCAACAGGAGGTAGGGCGGGTGGTGAAGCAGCGTAGCATGAGGAGGATAAGATCAAACAATGCAGCAGCGTGCAGCGTGAAACAGCCTGACATGAGGTGGGAAGGCCCAGCAGCGTAACAGGAGATAGAGAAGACCAAGCAGCCTAGCATCATGAAGACAGATCAAATTTCATAACCTGATGTACACGACATCAAGCAGATTGACATGAGGTAGGGAGGGTGATTGACATGAGGTAGGGAGGGTGAAGCAGCGCAGCATGAAGTAGATAAGATCAAGCAGCCTGGCATCATAAAGACAAGATCCGGTAGCCTTACATGATACAGAGAAGACCAAGCAGCAACACATGGCTTTGTTAAAGGCAAGCAGTGTGGCTTGGTGTAGAGAAGATCAAGCAGCGTAAAAAAACACGAAGACAAGATCAAAAAGAATAACGTGGTGAAGAAGACATCAAGCATCATGAGGCAGGGAAGGTCAAGCAGCGTAGCATGAGGCAGAGAAGATCAAGCAACGTATCATCATAAAGACAAGACCAAAGAGCATATGGCATAACAACTTTGAACATCAAGAAAAATCAAGAAGCACAACATCAGTAGCGAAGGCCAAGAAATTATGAGAAAGATAAATCAAGCAGATCGGCTTGATAAAGAATTTCTCGAACGCCTCCAGCGCCTCCAGCACCTCCAGCGCCTCCAGCGCCCTCAGTGCCCTCAGCGCCTTCACAGCGCCTTCACAGCGCCTTCAGGCCTTCAGCGCCCTCAGCGCGCGCCTTCAGCGCCCTCAGCGCCTTCACCCCCCCAGCGCCCTCAACGCCCTCAGCGCCCTCAGCGCCCTCAGCGCCCTCAGCGCCTTCAGCGCCCTCAGCGCCTTCAGCGCCCTCAACGCCCTCAGCGCCCTCAGCGCCCTCAGCGCCCTCAGCGCCTTCAGCGCCTTCAGCGCCTTCGGCGCCCTCGGCGCCCTCAGCGCCCTCAGCGCCTTCAGCACCTCCAGCACCTTCAGCGCCCTCAGCGCTCTCAGCGCCCTCATGCAGCGCCT